TCTTTCTATCTGTACTTAGAGAAGAGTACTTCAGAAAGTTCAGGGGAAGATGCAGTTAAAACATAAGGCTATTTTGGTATAAAATGTTTCATATTTTTACTAGATTATTTTGAAGACTTTGAAGGAATAGGTTGATTCCCTCAATGGCCACAATGGCCAGACCTGAGCTGTTGTAAAGCCAGGAGCCTCTTCTTGGTCTCCCATATAAGTCCAGGGTTCAAGGACCTGAACCATTCTGTCCATAAGCAGGGAGCTTGGATCAGAAGTGGAGCAGCCAGGACATGGACCAGACCCATATGGGATGCAGGTGCTACAGACAGAGGATGAGCTTGCCAAGCCACCCCACTAACCTCAAGATCTCTATTTTTTAAATCAAGGTATACTTTTTATTTTGCATCACCTGTTTGAACTTGTTATGGAAGTATAATCCATTATATTCTGTAATATAGGGAATGGCATGCTACATGCTGGTGGTTACTATCAGGGCTCGATTTTATTACCTAAGCTTCTCTCAGATGTAATGTTTCCAGACTATTGGTAAAAAAAGAAAAGAAAAAGAAAAAAAGTTTTCCTATAAGTCACTTATACTGAAAGTTGATTATAAGAATAGCCCTACCAACCTCACCTGAGAGCTTGTTAAAATTACATAGATCAGACTCTATCCCACGTCTTTTGAATCTTCCTTTCTGGAAAGATAGCCTTGATCAAATCCTCCAGGTGCTTCTGATATATACAGAAGCTAGAGAGACTAAGGACATGGTCCCTCTTCAGCTCTTCCGGCATCCGTTATCAAAGATGGACTCCCAGAAGTGCCTCCTCCTTGTTTTCCCTCTTTCCTTTGGGCATCCTGACTCCTTCTTATAGCACTTGTGTCCCTGAACTCCAATAACTGCTTTCAGTCCATAAACTTTTGAGATTTCTCTCAATCTAGTTAGGACTAGCAGTGTAAGTCATTAATAGTTAGTGGCGCCTGTGTCTTGGTTGCTAGTATTGACCACTTTTCCTAGCAGTGATTAAGTAGCTTCAGTTCAAATGAAATTCTCAACTATTGAAGATGTGTGCCATACAGTCCAATGTGATGCTGCATGTACTCTTACTCCAACACAGTTAATGCCATTCCCCTTCATTCTTTTAGTACATGCTCTGCTTCAAAGTGAACTATTTATATTAAGTATAAATCATCAGCAATCCCAACAGTACTAACATTTTCTAAGGAAGAGTCAATGAGAAGAAAATGCTTAAGGCATAAGCAAATGCAATGACTATTACAGATACCCAAGACAGAACTGGAATCGAGCTGGGATATCTCAGAGGCAAAAAACCTTACATGTTAGGTTTCCATGCAAGTAGGGAGGTAAAGCAATAGGTCACCTATGGAAGCATGGGGCCTTCAAAGAGGCTGTGGTCTGGTGCAACCAAAACCAAATAAGGAGAGAGTGATTTGATGTAAAGTCCTCAAGAAAGGTTAAAGGGAGATTTTATTAATGATTCTTGCCAATAAACTAGAATGTTAGATTTGAAAAAATTATAAGTATTTCTTTTTTCCTCTATTTTCTGTTGGTTCTGTGTAGTTGAAATGTTGATGGGTCTATTTTCTGTTAATTCTGTGCTATATTTTAAACAAATGCTGATTGTGTAATTTGACAGAATAATTTACTTTCAATTTCAGTTCTGATATTCAAATTCAGTTAAGAAAACAAATGATTTATACTTTGTAGTATTTGATGCTTATATCATATTAGAACACCAGTGCTGGCATACTGAGATATAAGGCTGTCATGAACAGTGAGGGGAATTATGCAAATATCTAATTATTGTACATTGTTATACTGATTATTAATATGATGAATGAATTCTGTTATGTTTATATAGGAATTTTTATGTCACCATTTATAATGCTGAACATGAATTTCTGAAGATTTTCCATTTTATAGGCCATTTGCACAGTGCATGCTACATGAGAAAGCTATCTTAAAACGGATGTTAAATTCTGATAACAGTTATGTATTTGGTTTCATATAATTAGTACTATTACTTTTGTTGTTGAACATTAAAGATGAAAGGCTTTGTTGTGAATATTGCTTGTGTATTGGTCCCTTATGTCATTGAATATTATCATCTTCATCATATAGATAACTTACCTCTGTCATTCTTTGTGAAATAATACAATAGGTATCATTTACTTTCAAATTTATATCCGTTTCCCTTATACAGTTTAAAGTAATGAATTTTAAGAAAATTTCCTTCAATATTCAATTAATTGTTACAATTTCCTATCAGTATACTCTAAATTTGAATGAAATACTGCCTGGAGTGATAAAAGGATAGTTATTTCCTACATTTTCCTGTTTAAAATATAAGTAATTGATATATGAATGTAATTTCTTACTTAAATATTGTATTTAAAAAGCAAATAGCATTTACTATTAATGTTTTAATTAATGAAGTTTATACTAAACATAACTAACCCAAGGATGAGTTTAACCTGATGTCCGTTATTGATGAGTTTGTGATTAATGTCCATTATTGCTATTTTCCCACTATTCCATGTATTATCTAATTCTTAACATCCCATTTCTTGTAACAAATAATATTTATTTGTAAAGAAAAATTGTTTTGGTTTGGCACTGTGGCACAGTGTATTAAGCCACTTTGTCCAGCACCAACATCCCATATGGGCACCAAATTGACCAGCTTCTCCACTAATGATCAGGCTCCCTGTGGATGTGCCTGGGAAAGCAACAGAATGTGGCCCAAGTGCTTGGGCCCCTGCACGCACCTGGGAGACTGGATGAAGCTCCAGGCTTTAGCCTGGCCCAGCCTCACTTTTGCAGCCAAATATGGAGTGAACCAGTGGATGAAAGATCTCTCACCCTCAGTTTCTTGGGGAGACTATCTCTGGCTGAAGGTAGAGCTGGCAGAATATCATCCCAGTCAATTAAAAGCCCCAACATAACATCAACAACAATTTACAACATTATGGAATTAATTGACGTGGTATTGAGTAACAAATATATTTTAAAAAATGCAAGTTCTTAACCACATCCTGTGACCACTTCATTGACATTTCAATTTTAGTTTATATACAGGACTGGCTGCTATACACCTTAAAATGGCTATAGGGTACTATTCAGCTGTCTAGTGTCTATTTTCACTTTAGTATTTAGCTGTTTATAGTGTTGAAGCATAATTTTGCTGAACTTGGCAGACTTTAGGATAGTCTAAACTGGGTTGTAACTCTAACAAGGCATATGTCAACAGTTGAGGTGCAGACAAATATTTTATAGAAGTAACTACAGGATATCCAAATCAGTCCTAAAATTTCATCACTTAGTTTTTAAAAGTAAGCTTTATAATCTTGTCTATTTTTACTCAATAACTTTTACTTATCTATGTTTATAATTAGTTTAATCGAAGTCATGCCCAAGGTGTATTAGCACTCTGTGAAACATATTTCCCCTTTTATTTTTTTAAAAGTTGGTCTATAGTGGCTAAAAGTAATTTATAACATGTATTAGATAATGGGCTGTTCCCAACAGGCACAAGAGAGCATTAACTGACTTTTACAGTTTTTCCTATATCTGTGTACAACTCAGAACTTGAGAAATCATTCCTGTAACCATTTCAGTACTATGACGTTGTATAAGCAATCAGGAAACCCCAAACAGGAATTCAGACCACAGTTGAACAAACCTGGCAATTGCATAGATGGCCTAGGCATTTTCTTGTCAACTTTTGATTTAGTTTTACTTAAATACACTCATGACATAAATATTAACATTATTATTTTGCTGTTAATAAATCCCTAGCTATAAATAATTAACCTATTATTGCCAACTATTTGCAGCCTATGAGTTGGGCCCAAGTTTATGTTAGTTTCTTTTTTACAGTGTTCTTGGCATAGTGTTATGTAAGAATTCCTTAGAAAGCCATGTGGTTTCCACTGCAGCAATTATTTTTAAAAATTCATTTACTCACTTATTGAGGCAGATGGAGAGCTCCCACCCACTGAGTCATTCTCCAAATGGCAGCAACAGCTAGCACTGGATCAAGGCAAGTCCTGGAGACTTGAGTTTAAAGCAGATCTCCCCTCTGGGTGACAACTCAGCTACCTGAGCCATCACCTGCTGGCTCCCAGATTTCCCTTTAGCAGGAAGCTGGGGTGAAAAGCCAAGACTCCAACAAAGTTACTGCCCTGCTCTCAACATGCAATAACTCTGACCTTGCCAAACTGACCTCGAAGTACTCTTAACTATGTGAGCTTGGAGTAGGCATTGTGGCACAAAAGGTTAAGCCATATTTTGGACAGCTGCATCCATGTGGGAGTGCTGTTTCCAGTCCCAGCTACAACATACTTCTGATCCACCTTCCTAAGAAAGGAACTTGAACAGTAGCAGATGACTCTCAAGTTCTTGGGTTTCTGCCACCCACGTGGGGGGCCTGGGTGAATTTCCTGGCACTTGACTTTGGCTTGGGTCAGCTCAAGTGCTGCAGGCATTTAAGGTTTCATCAACAGACAAAAGACAAATTTCTTTCTCTTCCTCTGTCAGATAAGAAAGGATATAAAATAATATGAACTTATAAAATTAGTTCTGTTTTTATTATTGAATGTAAATAAGTTAATGCCACGTCTACCTTTACATTTTCTTTATGTAATGTATTTTTAGCCATAATAAAGTATATGAAGTGAATATACTTCAGTGTAGATATACATGATTTTATGCTTAGAAACACAAACTGTTCAGATTCATTCCTCTTACTTCCAGCTTGAATAGTCTCTAAAAAGCTTTGCTTTTAAGAAGATTTTGAAGCACTCAGTGGGAGCCTTCAGTTATCTTGCAATTAAAGGAAAAGCATATACAGTATAACTAATGAGCATGTTGTTAGCTCTTAACTTCACATCAACTTTTACCACCATCTTTACTTACACTAATAATAACTTTATTGCCTCATAATTAATGTGCTCTGAGTTGAATTCTGTTTGCTTTCCTTTTTTGCAGGGCAGTTTCTCCTGGAAGAAGCTCGCCTCATAGAAGCAGCTGAGATGGCAAAGAAAGCAGCGGAACTGGATAGCACGGAGTTTGATGTTGTCTTCAACGCTGCTCATATGCTCAGGTTGGTTGTTGTGGAAGTTGTTGATTTAATGTACCCTAAAAGACAGGGGCCTGGCTTTATGAAGGCAATTAATTTTACTGATTATCCTGTCCTACCAACACATTCCACATGCTTTCTTTGAACCATGCTTCTTAGCTATCTAAACATTAGCAAGAATGATTTTATTCGTTCTAGTTTGTTTAATAATGTCTAAGGCAAATGAGTTTTATTGAGATCTTCTCTTTTCTGCCCCTTTGAAATTGTTACAGAATTCACAAATCACATTTATTGACTCTAATGAAAAGCCTCCAGAGTTAAACATTATGCCAGTTAGTCAACAGCATTGCCATATTTTTGTTTTACATCAATCATATTGGATATGGCATGTAGATTTATTTTACTATATTGAATAGTGGAGAAGATTATGAAATACAAATATGCTTTAAGCCAGTGGCAATTCTCACAATGACCCTGTAATCAACCTTGTTGCTATATAATGATACAAAATGGTTTTTGAGATTCTAGTGCTGCTTTGAATATTTTCAGAAGTGTTTTTTTTTCCCCAAAAGCTGCATAAAACATGGCAATAAAATTATAAGAGACTGACATTGTGGTATAACAGGTTAAACCTTCACCTGCAGCACTGGCGTCCAATTTTGATTCTGGTTTGAGTCTCAGATGTTCCTCTTCCAATCCAGTGTGCTTCTAATACACCTGAGAAAGCATCTAAACATGGCCAAATCCTTGGACCCCTGCATCCATCTGGGAGACCTGGTTGAAGCTTTTGGCTCCTGGATTCAGCCTGGAGCAAGCAGGCCATTACTGCCTCTTTGGGAATGAGACAGCAGTGTCTCTCCCTTTCTTGCTTTCTGTAACTCTGTATTACCAAAGGAAAAAAAAGAAAGAAAGTAAGTAAGAAAGAAATGAATGAATGCTTTTTAAAAATTGTGTAGGGCCTAGCACAATGGTCCTGTGGCTAAATCCTTGCCTTGCAACTGCCGGGATTCCATATGGGTGCCAGTTCAAGCACAGGCTGCTCCACTTCCCATTTAACTCCCTGCTTGTAGCCTAGAAAAGCAGTAGAGTCCGGCCCAAAGCCTTGGGACCCTGTTCCTGCATGGGAGACCTGGAAGAAGCTCCTGGCTTCTGGCTTCAGATCTACTTTGCTCAGGTTGTTGGGGCCATGTGGGTAGTAAACCAACAGATGGAAGATCTTTCTCTCTGTATCTCCTTCTCTCTATAAATCTGCATCTCCAGTATAACTAACTAACAATATAAATAAATCTTTAAAATTTGTGTGAATATAAAAAAGTGTCTTAGGAAGTGGTGCTTTAGGATAAAGTTTGAGTTTATAAGAAATTCAAATGATGAAAAAATTGCTTAAAATCAGTTGTTCTGTTTACAGTATGTGTGCCCCATTACTCATGCTGTTAACTTGAATTTCACTCCAACACCCTGTTTTTGCTAACTGACATTCACATGGCTGTCTCAGTGCTTGGTGTCTAGGGATACATTTGTAATTATGTTGGAAAGAAAAATAATAAGAAAGTTAGTTCATACTTGGGTGACTCTGAGCTGAGAACTTTTAGAAAGAACAGGAGGAGCTATGTCTTTTCAAATTTCTATTTGAAGGGATGGAGTTGCACATGTAGGTGTAAGAAATAGTGCAGAGACATTTTCTGTGGGATTTACCAACTTTTCGCAGTGGTAATATCCGATGTAACTGAAGTGCATTGAACAACCCATGATATTGACATCGATCTAATCCACTGGCCATTGCTTCCCGTATTTACTAATACAAGTGTGTATGTGAGAATGAACCCTTTAAAAAATAATTCCTCTTCCATTTTCTTGTCTAATTTCTAGTGAAATGGCCAAAAAATGATCTACATGTATTAAAAAGAAAAACTACTAAGTGCAATTTTTGAGTTCTGTTTCAGTGAGACTAGATTGGCGTAAGTGAGAGCCTCAGGCCAGGTGTCTGTGGACAAATAATTTTTCGGGAAAGTGAAATTTGAGGAGTATCTAACACACCCAGTTCAGCTCTGATTAATACTTGGAGCTCTTCCTTTGTTGCATAAACACAAAACTCAAAATAGATTATTTATTCTGGCAATTCAGATAGCAAAACCAGTTGTACCTAGCAAGCTTTAAGGGACTTAGGCAAGGAAGATTAATGTTAAAAGCACAAGAGAAACATGCAACATGTACAAATTCCATATTGAAAATGATTCACAAGCTGTGTGGAAGGTAGTATAGATGTTGGTCAACAAATATGGCCCCTCACCTTTCCAAAGCACAGTGAGACTTACTTTCTAGCCTTCTTCGAATTTTAAGGTCTGCTGCATGGGTTTTATTTAGATCATTGCATATGAGTGAACCTGATGTATGGCACTCTTGAACCAATATGTAGGAATACAGTTTCTCTTTTATTGATTTGGGAATAGTGGAAACACAGACCCTGGAGTTACCAAGTGGAAATGAATGCCTTGAGTGAGACATCAGCTTCTTTTTCTTTATCCATGAAGTTTTACCAGTAGGCTTATCAGCACAATATCACCTATGTTATCCTAGCAGGATACAAAATTGTTGGAAAGGAAAACATACTACTACTAGCAGATGAATAGAATCTGTGTCTATTATTTTAATGAACACATTACACAATTTATGAACTAGTAGTTTAAATCAAAATTGTGGCTGTTTCCATGGAACTTAGCAGAAAGTATCGTGGGCATGAAAATGATTCCTGAAAAGCTGAAAGATTGGAGAATTCATTCAAAAATATGTGTAAATATGCCCATCATTATATTTACATGCTTGTATGAATATATGTGATGTGTATACCCTCATATATGCTTTATAATCATATAGCCTCTCTGTATTTTACATACAGAGTATATGTATATATACTCAACCACATAGTCCTCACTAGGGCTTAGCAATTACTAAAATCCAGGAAGTGATTGTGGTGTTGTGGTATAGTAGGTAAAATCAAAGCCTGCAAAGCTGGCATCCCAAATGGGCAGCAGTTTGTGGCCTAGCTGCTCCGCTTCTTATCCAGCTCTGTACTAATGGCCTGGAAAGGTGGCAAAAGACACTCCAACTGGTTGGGCCCCTACAATTCAAGTGAAAGACCTGGATATATTTCCTGGGCTTGGCTTAGCCCAGCCCTGGAAGTTGTGATATTCTAGGGAGTCAAAAAGCATATGGAAGGTCTGTCGATCTCATTTTTTCTCACTGTAACTCTCACCTTTAAATAAATGACTGAATTGTTTAAAAAAAAAAAATCTAACAACTGTACCATGCAAAAACAGCAAAGTGATGTCTCATTTCTTATAAGATTCCCCTGGATTACAGGTATCTCTCATTTTGCTAACTTTGAATTCAATCTCTTGAGGTTTCCTTTGAATTTGGGAGCTGAATCATGTGCAGGAAATTGAAAAATGAAGGAAGGGGTCTGCCTTGCTTGGGAAAGTGGGACCTGCGTTGTGGCTAATTGCCAGATGTATTTACAAGGGAAGATGATCACAGATGTGGAGAGATCTCACAATGAGCGTTGACAACACACGGAGACATTTTTACTACTTCAAATAAGATGAAAAGCACTAGACACTTCCAGATGAGAGCACTTAAAAAATAAGTAAGATTGGATGTTATCAAAAGAAAGCATCAAAGGAGTTTAAAATGCTAGAACTCAGTGGAGTTGTGTCTATTGAGTTGGGAGAGGAAGCTATTGAATCAATTATTCTGTTAGAAACATTTTATGAGAATAGATTGCTGGGCATTTTTTTTTCAGTCTAGATCTGGAAACCAGGCAAAGCATGAATATATTTGATTCCTGAGCTGAAGTCTAGAGGTACTAAAATCCCTCTACCTGACTTATACCATTCATAGCTTCTGGTGAGGTTTTTATTGTTGTTATTATGTAATTCACCAACTGATTAACCAGAATCTTGTATTTGTTTGTTCATCTATCTGCTTATCGTAGTTTCATGATTTTAAAGTTATTTCAGATGCAAAGCAAGATAGAGAAATCTCCCACACAGGACTCCTAGCCCTGAAACGTTCCCAATAGCCAGGACTGATACTCAGGCCAATCCATTAGCTCATTCCAAGTCACCCTCATGGACAGTAGCAACTCAGTTTCTTGGGCCACCACTGTCTCCAAGGATCTACATGCTCAATAAACTAAATAAACTGGTGCCAAAAATTAAGATATAATACTCTGATAAGGATGCAGGTGTTAAAACTGCTGGGCTGAACAACTGTCCCATATTTTGTGCAGATTGCGTGTCTGCAGAATAAAATGTAGTATTCCCATGTTACAGGTGAAAATATTGAGACTCAGTCAGTTGCCTGTCACAGTGAAGCTGTGATTTAAGGGTAAAACAATGCTTGTTTTTGCTGTTTCACATTGGCTTCCTAATGTTCTTGCAACTGGTGAGAAAGAACCCATGATTCTTGAATAGAGTTATGATGGAGAAAGGATTTATAGCAAAAATGGGGAATGAACTATCTAAATTCTAAGTAATGAGACCCCTTTCAATGTTAAAATACAGGTAAAGTTATGGCAAAATTTAAACATAGATTCTTCATTATCGGAGAGACATTTCAAAGGCTGTACAGATTTTTGAAAATCAGAGTGAATCATTATCTTTTCATTTCTGTGCTTAAATAACAAAATATGGAAGTGTACATACATACATATATATATATATGATTTAGAGATAATATCTGCTTTATAAATTCTCCTAAAAGTGACATAGAATTTAAATGCACACCTGACAAAGCACTTAGCTATCCTCAAGCCGCTCTAGACTATATGCTTGCTTCTTTAACACTTCCAAGACTACCAAAAAAATCACTCCAACATCACTGACATTTTTGATCATACATTACATATTACTGCCAACTGTTGGCAAAGAAAGGCTAATTCCAGCTATCTCCTAGTTAGTTCTAACGTTTTAAAGCAAAGGATAGTGTCAGATGAATTTAAAAGTGGGCCTCTCCCAACTCAGGGCCTCTGAGATGTCAACATGCTTATGAATCCTGCGCCACTCGTTAAATGCATCCTCTAGAGGCTGGGTAAGCTGTCACCTTCCGTGCCAAAAGACCAGGTGGAAGAGCCTGCTTTGGTGTGAATTGCTGTACTTCCAAGCCAGCTCGTTAAGACTCCTGAGAAAGCAACAGAGGAGAGCCTGCATCCCTGGGACCCTGTCACCCATGTGGCAGACCCAAATGTAGTTCATGGCTCTTGGCTTCTGCCTGGATCAGCCCTGGCTCTTTCTGCCATTTGGGGAGTGAACCAGTTCTCCCCCCTTACCACTGTCATGTAACTCTGCTATTCAGGCAAATATGCATCTTTTTTTTTAAGTCAACATTCCTTGGTTTCTTTTTTGCTACATTTCTTTATTACCTTTCTATCCTCTATTAGAATAGGGACAGAGAAGTACAAATCAAAAAACCCACACTGAATGTTGACAGAAATGTTTGATAAGGATTAATGGTCATGAACAAATAATTGTGGGAGTTTCAATGGAAGATTATTTATGTTCCATCGTTTTTATACATGAGTGACTCTGGTTTTGCTATTTTATAGATTTTCCATACATTTTATGTCCTCATTTATTTCATTCCTACGACTATTCCAGCTTGCCACATATCAACTAGAATTAAAGTTTAGTGCTGCTTTGAGTAACTTCAAGTTGAGCATCATGTTAACTGTTGGCAAGAATCCATGAAAACTCAGCTACTGTTTCATTCTACGTTTTTGCTACATAAGCCAGTACTCTCTCTAGTGAAAAAAAATTATTGAAAATAATGACTAAGTCATTGATAAAATATTATTATTCTAATGAATGGGCTAAAATTGATGTTTTACAGCTGCTAATAGTTGCAGGTAACAGGACACTTTTAATACGACCAGAGTGGCTTTTATATTTTAAAGAAACCAAATTTAATAGTCTAACAAATATAACAAGAACTGTATTAAAATATAGGTAATTGTCATTATTTTAATTCAGTGGCCTTTAAATGTTTCATAAATATTGTGATTTCATAATAAAATTGCTCCCCAAATTGCTTTTATATATCTTATCCTATAAGATCATTAGTCCAAACTCAGCACAGTAACCCCTAAATTCTTCAATTTGCACGCACCAGAATCCCACATGGGCATTGATTGTAATCCTGGCAGCTCCGGCTTCACATCCAGCTCCCTGCTTGTGACCTGGGAAAGCATTGGAGAATAGCCCAAAGCCTTGGGACCCTGCATCCACGTGGGAGACTGGAAAGAGGCTCTGGTCTCACGGCTTTGGGTTGGGTCAGCTCTTTCCATTGTGGCTATTTGGGGAGTGAATCATCAAATGGAAGATCTTCATCTCTGTCTCTCCTCCTCTCTGTAAATCTGCCTTTCCAAAAAAAAAAAATCTTTAAAAAAACAATGCTCATCTTTCTACATCCCTCCTTAACAGACATGCAGACGTGGTTTTCTGCATGTGTTGAGGTCACACAACACAGAAACATACTGTTAAAAAAAAAAAAAGATCATTAGGCTACAAGCTTGTGTTCCAAAATAGTTTTCTCTTAGCAATTAACACCAGAGATAGGAATTAGAGATATGAAACATATATATTTTTGATTGGTTTAAATTTTGTTTTCTCATGTAAAAAAAAAAAACCTAGAATTCTGCCATACACAAATGATGAAGTTTGTTGACATTAATTTTGGGGAGCTCTTTTTTCTGAGTCTACATTTTCATTAATAGCAGAAAAATAAAATCTAAAAAACTCTAAAGCATATTCTACCCAATCCAGGCATGCTTTGGGAATTCACGGTTTATTACATAGCCTAGTTCCCAAATACCATCTGTTCTGTTTCTAGTTTTTTAGCCTTTCCTGAGAATTAGCTGCTGGAGTTAGTGTAAAAGATACAATCAACCTCATGAGATGGATGGTTCATGAGAAAGGAAGCCTCCATCTACCTCTCTAGTTGATGTAGTTTATTGGTGTGATCATTTAATCTTTATTCTCTAGATATGTGTCATACCATACCCACATTTTGGGTGTTAGTGATGTGTCTTTCTCACTATCTCATTTGTGGCTTCGTAAGCTGTCTCTTCATCTAGTCTGTGAAAGAGATTTCTTCCATAGCCAACTGCTGTTACTCTTTAGTAACCTTCTGAATCATCCACTTAGACCCATGGAAACTTAGGTGTCCCCTCAATATCCAATGCAAATCTCCTAAAAAAAGAAAAAGAAAAACCTGCCATGGGCTATTGTTTTTCTTATCTTTAAAAGTAGTTATTAAATTTAAGCTTCGTAGTATAGATTTTAACCGGTAAAAACTGGTAAATGAAAATAATCAACACTTGGGTAGAAGATTTGTAAATTTTCTGCCACAGAAAGGAGAAGGTAAAAGTAGAAAGGATATAAATATGCTGAAAAAGCACCTCTATCCTTGCTTTAAACAGATATATTCTAGAAGTCTTGGGAATGTGAGTCCTTTAATTAGTCTTCAGCAGTCTCATGGGAGGGGTTCCTGACAACATTAAGTAATTTCCCTACACATGTTGCAAAATATTACCAATTTCTACACATTTCAAACATTTGCTGATTATTCTGTCTTTTATGCGGTTAAGGTGTGCGGATCATTTAGGAGGTCTTTCATGAGTTTTAGTGAGACAAAGATAGAAATGAGCATACGTTCTGTGGGCAGAGCTGATACACTGTTCTCTTTCATTGCTGCCATAAGTACCTGCTGATTAGTAGTCAATAAACACTATTTCATATTAGAAACAAAACCCTAGGGTGAAGATTTTTACACTTATATGACAAGTGTAATAAATTCTAAGAGCTTTCTTTCCATTTTCATTAGATCATCAATTCTAAGTGTTTCAGAAATTAAATCTCCTGAACTAGACACCTCTTTGGGGAATTAGACCACTAAAGGATATGAAGACTTTAAATAATTAATAACCATTTTGGTAGAAAAATCCATTAAAGTTGAGTTGACTATTATTTTAAATGCATTTCATTTAATGGGACCCCGTTTCTTTTTTGATCTTTATCTAACTCATAAGATGAATGATCATAAAGATGAATATTAATGGTAACAATACTTTCCATGTTGGACATCTATTGGTTGATCTTTCTTCAAAGTAAGTTACGTCTTTGTAGTATTATGTTACTCTAATTTCCTACCTCTGGGCCTTTTATTTTTCTCTGGAGAAAACCCTTCCAGGGCATGACCTAATGAATTGTGGTTCAGATTTCTAAAGGACTCCGAACCAAAGTGATTCTGTCGTTTAGTGGAAGGGAACCTTCATTAAACACTCCAGTGAGGGAATTTTTACTGTTTCATACCAGACTAAAGTACTTTTCTTGACATATTAAAATCGAACTTTAACATTTATGAGAATATAAATGGCAACAGCACATTGTAACCTATCAGTGGTCCAGCAGAGCCTTAGGTAGAAGTTTTTATGTTTTTTGTAACCTCCGTTAAAACTAACTATATTTCTGATTATTTTTTCTTAAAAATTAGAAAGCTGTGCCTTGCTGTCTGAACAAATGCTATCTGCAGTCGTTCCTATATGATTGTGTGGGGTTTGTCTTCATGGTTTTTATTTACTTGACCAAAGTACAACAGCTCTGTAATCTGTAGCTCTCTCTTTTTTTAAAACAAAAATCTGATTGTGATTTTTTTTTCTAATTGAGAAAATGGAATGTTTTCCTCTTTATTGGTGACCTCTGCACCATCTTGTCTCAAAATCTTCTTGGCACTACAGCTTCGAGAAAACAGGACTTAATTTTAAGTGCAAGTCCTGTGGCCATTGACCACTCATATCAGAATCATGCTGAATATGTATCATCTGAAAGTGAATATAATGTTTTTCAGCAGCTGTTCTTCAGTGTTCAGATATGTTCACGAGGTTGGAACTGCTTAGAGCTTGTTCTCCTCTTTGAAAATCTTCTGAAGCAGCATGTGTTTCACAGGCTAACTGATGGACTGCCTCAGAACCCTGAGTCCTTCTGCTAACAGGTTGGCCCAGCCTAGGTCCTCACTGTGAATTGCAATAACAGGCCATGAATGAACTAATGTGTACAACTCAGTAAGCATCTTACTTATATAAATCAGTGGTACCTCTAATGGAGCTTGGCTGTCAGCAGGCCAGCTGTTTGAAGGCTATGGAAACTACAGAATAGATGCAAGGCTGGAAAAGTTGAATTGGCACAGGAAACAAGGTAGCTCCAATAATGAAGTACTGAAATAAACCATAGCAAGTGTTTACAGGAAGAATAATAACCAGGTTACAGCCCCATTAGTTGTACCATGTGAAAGAATTCTGGTCATTCTTTCAACTTTGTGTCACTGTGTCAGAACAGCTTATCCATTTAGCTGAGGTCAGATCCTGCGTCCAACATGGTGGCCAGTAACCAGCAAAAAGTGATCTATTTTATTTTGTTTCATTTTTTTATTGGATACACATTTTTAAAAATTCTCTTCAAATAATAAAAAAAGAATTTCTAGGCAAAAAATTTGAGATCCTGAAAATACTTACCATTGTCATAAAACAAAGCTAATACTGAGTTCTGACAATCTGTAAAATGAAATTAAACTTTATGTCATCTGCTAAAGCTAAGACTCCAAGCTTCATGTAGTAATACCTGGATTAGCTTTGCGAAGGACAATAATTTCTCTAATTCATAATGTGTAAGTGAAGAATAACATTTCCTGCATAGTAATATGTTGAGGTGCTATTTATACTGACTTAGGCATAATAACAAAATTTATTACAACACTCTTCTGCTTGTCTAACTTATTGGACTGGTGGTGTCTGTAATTGTATTTAACTAATATTACCTTGCTACAGGATCCTTGTTTATTAGCCCCAAAAAAACTGATACAGTTTTGTTTTGTTTTGCTTACAGACAGGCTAGCCTCAATGAAGCAGCTGAGAAGTACTACGATCTGGCAGCCAGACTGAGGCCTAACGTAAGTACTTTCCTGCTGAGAAGTGCCACTCAGAGACATATGATGGTTGCATGATACTAGGTTCTTTCCTGATTTCTGTTTCTGCTTACACACTAGCTGGCTAATTTAATGATGAAATCCATCAGTCTCAATCATCTTTTGGAGGTAAAAAGAATGCTGCTTTTAGCATATGCAAAACACAATACATTTTTATCATTTCATTGCAGATGTTAGTAGTGTTTTATATCTTCCATTTATTATTTTATGATACTTTTTTAAAGATTTACTTTGATTGGAAAGTCAGATATACAGAGAGAAGGAAAGACAGACAGGAAGATCTTCCTTCTGCTGGTTCACTCCCCAAGTGGCCGCAAAGGAAGGAGCTGAGCCAGTCCAAGCCAGGAGCCAGGAACTTCTTCCTGGTCTCTCACATGGGTGCAGGGTCCCAAGGCTTTGGGCCATCCTCAACTGCTTTCCCAGGCCACAAGCAGGGAGCTGGATGGGAAGTTGGGCAGCCAGGATTAAAACCAGCATCCATGCATGATCCCAACATGCGCAAGGTGAGGACTTTAGCTCCTAGGGTACTGCACCAGGCCCTGTTTTATGATACTTTTTAAAAATGAATTGCTTTACAGTTTCTTAGCTTTGACATTAAATGTCTATTATTTTTTATTCCCACATACAAATCCTGAGCTGTATACCTCCATCCTGCAAAATCTCTATTTCTAATAACTATAATTTTCAAGTTTATCAAGAACATTTTCATTCTAGTTTTCTCTGGATTAATCCAAATTCCGTAAAATAAGATGGGTATAAATTAGATCATTACTATGGAAATAGGATAGCTGTTATGAGAAAATAAGAACTTAACAACTAATTTCGTCTTGGTCTCGTAGGCACATTTTAGTCACAGTATATCCGTAACTCCAGCACATTGCTTTTATTTCTATTCATTCTTCATTGTGACACTAAATCCTGCTATGCTTTCTAGATCATGCAGTGAGAAATGCAGTTTTGAAACAATAGTGAATGAGCACATACAATGTGAGTACAAAGGATGGGTTGAGATAGGAGATCAGAGGATGAGGTGAGTCTTAATTTTCCACAGTGATTCATTCATTGGACAAGCACGCGACAGGATATTGACATTTATTACCTTCAAATATCACACACTATAGCTTAGTAGACTGAAAATAGTTAACTAATTGAAATAGGGAATGGCAGTTCCTATGCAAAGTTATATACAGCCCTGTGCGAGAACAGAAGAGAGGATTAATGCTCCCAGAGAGAAAGCTACGTGGAAAGTGTCTTTATATTCCCAGGGTGATTGAGCCATGAATAATCTAAGGACAGCATCTACAATGTCCCCAGGTTCTTTTTTAAGAGACAAAAAGCAGGATGTTTTCTTTACTCCTCACAGAGTTCATGGTTGAGACATGTGTGACCAAAAGACAGTTTAACAACAATGAAAAGGAAGCATGCATATTTTTTAAATTATAATTTTACATGATGTAAGAACCTTCAGAAATGAAGGCCCAAAGAACTGCACTGTACTTTTATGGACCATTGGGCGGCAGTATGACTGAAGCAAACAGGTCATCAAGCAGTGGTAGTAGATTGAAGTAAACTTAACAAGGCCTGTTGGTGGAGAGTCTTCTCCATGTTCTGTGTCTTCAGGGACAAGGATTTTACTGACGTCCTTGTGACCTACTGCAAGGCTGAAAGGAGCGGAAAAAGTCAAAGAAAAGCCTTCTTGTTTCTACAGTTTTCTCAATTGGCTTCAGCTTAAAATGCTCAGGATGCCACAGTAACATATTTTGAGATGACCATTTTCAAGCCCATTATATTAATTACAAGATATTTCAGGAAGTGATGAGTTGTCTGCAGCAGAAGAAAATAACTTAATAACCACAATGGGAAGAGTAATGACTGTTAAGATTCACATGGCATTTATTACATGCCAAGGACTGTACTGGATGCTTTATCTGAATCCCCTCATTCATTTCTCACAACAGCCCACAGATAACTGCTGATGGTCAGCAAAGTTAGTAACTCACTCAGCATTATAACTAAGTGGAATACATATCATCTAAGCCACTGTGCACATAAAAGAAAGGTTGATGTGGAAAAGAGAAAAAGAAATCGTATTTTATAGAAAAGATCTGGGAAGCCAAGACAATAACCATCCTTCCAGTTAGTTATTCTGTGAATGGTTATTGAGAACCAGATATGACTTAAACACTGGATGTTTAACTAGAGAAGGCTGCTCAGAAGTTCTTGCTTATGCAGAAAAAGAATTTAGATGGGAGACACAGTAGTGGTAGGCAAAGTAACACAATGTAGGAAAAATGACCTGGTAGACCATGGGCGTCTTCAGGCAGCACTCAGGACCATGTCTGTTTTAGACTAGTAATGAGGAGAGCGCATGTGACAGATCAAATGAGCATCCCAGCAAAGGACTGAAAACCTGATCTATATTCCAACTGGAGTTTTTATGGTTATAAGTGTGTCCCGCCCCTCTCGAATTCCTTCCCCTCCTCCCTCTTCTGGGAGTTGCTATTGGAGGGCTGTCTGAGTGTCGGGGTTCTGAAAATCCTCTCAGGACCTCACCAGAACAGTGTTTTAGGAAATGACCCCATTGGAGTAGGGTTAGAGAGATTCCCCTAAAACTGCCCTCCCCTGCCCCCAGGAGAAAGGCTGGAACCCACCAAGCAAGAATAATGAACAAGGACATTACATTAGGAATGCAACCGCGAGTCTGGCCTGTACTTGCATTTCTCCTCTTTCCACCACACAGAATTTCCATTTACTTTAGTAATTCCCATCTTCCTGAGCCCCTTTTACATACACAGGCTAACGTCAACCTAGCTACCTTAACGGATGTACACAACATTGAACAAAATAGGAAAGACCATCTGCTTAGGAGTTCACAGTCTAGTTAGGGACAACGGAGCTGAAGTGAATGACTCTCCACGTTACCAGTGATGAGTGCCTCAGAGCATCCACTGTCCTGTGCAGGAGACACAGCTTTGTAAATACCTGACTTAGACACCCTGGCGCAAGATTTCTAAGAAAATGGCTCAATGTGGAGAATCAAAGTTACTATTATATCTGTAGTGAAGGTAAGGAACTGGAATTTTTGTTTCTCTTTTTGTCCCTGTATATATTTTTTAGCAACGATTATATTCAAACTTCAGTGTGTAGCAGTCACTTGGGTGTCATTTCTCTTTCTGAATAAGCAAGACTTGATTTTTAAAAGCAAAATATAGTTATTTATTTGACGGTGACAGAGAGATGGAAGGAGAGAAAGATGAAGAGACAGAGAGAGAGAGAGAGAGAGAGATTCTATCAGCTGGTTCACACCCAACTGACCACAATCACAGCTGCTGGACTAGGCCAGTCAAGAGACAGAAACTCCATTCATGGTCTCCTACATAGGTGTTGAGTGCTAAGCACTTGAGCCATCCTCCACTGTTTTCTCAGCGTTAGCACAGAGGTGGGTAGTAAGTGGAGCAGGGTCTCCATCTAACCAGCACCCTTCTGTGAGATATCAGTGTTGCAGTGAGTGGTTTAACCCTCTGTGCCACCAATACAGGCCTCATCATTTGCTTTTCTTGACTATTTGTTCAGATAGTTTTCTTCAGTGCAGTAGTGATGGGGTAGTGATATGAAGGTTTTATGAGCTCACTTAACAGTCAAAACACATAAGGCTCCAAAAGAGTTCAGTCTTATTTTTAAGGTTATTTTAAATGATGAGCCAAGTCATAAAATCAATATTTAATCACTAACTCAAAGCCATTAATTCATAAATGTGTTACAGACTGCTTTTCAAAATGTATTTACTCAAGTGATACTTCCCTTATCTGGTGATAATAAATTATTTTTTAAGTTCATATAGAATACAAAATTCAAGCTTAGCTATGAGAAAAAGGTATTGCACTCGATAAGTCAACAGATATAATCATTTTGTAATACATTTTATGAATTGTGATTTGATTTTTTTGGTTCATAGTGTAGATAAGGAGTCACAAAGTCAAGAGTAATAAAATATGAACTGTGACAATAATCTGAGTTTCTCTTCCAAAATATAACATCCTATCTAGACAAATAGCTGATATAATAACTTTTTTTAGCAACAAGATATTTGATCTAAATTAAAACACCTATATAACATTTATCTAGCTACTTTTTCCTTTGTACATAAAACAGTTATTTTTTTCTAGGCTCGCTTGCTTGCCTGAGTGATTGATTGGCTTAAATTTGAAAGGCAGACAATGTGGAAAAGCAGAGAAAAAGTCTCCCAGCAAAACAGTACCGATTGCCTGCTAAGGCCAGGGCTACTAATCAGGCAGAAACAGGAAGCTTGGAACACAATCTGAATATCAAACACTGGCACTTGGAAATGGTACAGAGTTGCCTTGAGCACTAGACCAAGTACCTTTCCTTTTCTGTGGTTAGCTTACCACTTACCTCCTTATGTGAGAGCATATGCAGAGTATGCCCTGCAACCTGCCTGCACTACTGCTTACTACTATCATTATAATGTTGGTCATTAATGGGATTTGCTTCCTTAATCATGAATTACCTATTACATTTGTTCATTATAGTCCACATGGTCTGTCTTTTTTGTACAATATGCTTAATTTTTAATGTAATTGAAATTCAAATTTTTAATTATATTCTGAAGTATCTTATTAACGATTCCAGTGATTAAATGACAAAATAAAGATATGTAAGTTGGCAAATATAATACAAATTTAGGTCCTGGTATAAACTCTTCATTGGAGATGTTCAGTGCATTGCCTTTTATTGAAGTACACACAGCAAAATGTGTATCACCAAGGGCGCCATTATAAATTTTTTAATCTCATTTCATCTTAGAAGTGACTTTTCTAAAATTAAACCTTTCATTAATTTAAAAAACTAGTTATGTAATTGAAAGTCTGCTTCTCAGATAACTTTTTTTGTTGTTGTTGTTTTAGTTTTTCAAGTTTCATTTGTAAATTTTTTGGGTGTAAATT